TCACTCTCACCCTCTACACTGCACACCCCTCCATCACTCTCACCTTCTACACTGCACACTCCTCCATCACTCTCACCCTCTGCCCTTTGGTCTCATTTTCCTTCACGCGAGGGAACAATAACGAACACCTGTGAACTCCCTAACATGCCTTAATGACTCGCTGACGAAAAAAATCTAATTTTAGATTTTGAGACCAGCGAGGATATATATATATATATATTAATGTAGTAACGAGGATGCTGATACAGCACTTGCGGCCCTTGCTGTAGTTGCTGTAACTAGTGCTGCTGCTAATGCTGCTACACTGTGAGCATCAGCAGCAATGAGTTGGGTGAGACGCTTGAGCTAGTCTCACGCAAATTTGCAGGGGGACTGGTGTGGGGTTCGGGACTGACATAGGCTGGTGAGGGTAGACCTAAGTTGAATTATTAACACCCTATGGCCATTTCCCTCGAGTCTTTCAAGGAGTCAGGTATGAAATATGGTGCGGGATTATTATGGAGTTATCTTTTTAATAAAAAATAGGACTGAAAAAGGAAACCAGAAAAAAAGACGAATGATCTGAGACCCATACATTTGTCTCATTGCTTTCTGAGAGAGAAAGCAAGAAGGGGCAAGGACGAAGAGGGGAAGAGATAGAGATTGCTATAGACAGAGGGATAGCTAGATTGGTAGACAGCTAGAAACTTAGACAGATAGAGAGACAGAGAGAGGGAGATAAAACGAGAGGAGACAGACAGACAGACCCAGACAACGACGGGTACCTCTTAACATATATATTATATATTGTTTTAAACAATAAAATCAATAATAATAATAATAATACAGTACAACAATAACTGAAAAAATGAAATGTGTTAATAAAAATTATATATAAAATAAAAATATATTATAATAATTAACAAAAATATAGTAAAAAGAAGAAGAAGAAGAAGAAGAAGAAGAAGAAGAAGAAGAAATATGCAGGTTAAAACGAGTGAAGAAATAAAATCTATAAAGAAGTTTTGACTCTTTCTTAAGACTCTTAAGAATACCGTCCAGCTCCTGGACTTTCCTACCAATACATCAGCTTCCTGACAGCTCTTGTTGATTATTTTGTCTCCAAAATAAATACGTCATTGGAAGAAATTGACATAATACCCTTTCGTATATATTGGTCGACTTCTTGATATATATAAGATTTTACTGAAATTAAGATTTTTATTAGTCTAGTAACATTAGGTATAATAATAATAATAATAATAATGATAATAATAATAATGTTAATAATAATAATAATAAAAATAATAATAACAAACTAATCATGTAAATAGCAAATAATTATCATAATCTTACAAATAATTATCATAATCTTACAAATAATTAAAAAATCTAACAAATAATTATGATAAATCTAACAAATAATTTGATTAAATCTAACAAATAATTATATTAAATCTAACAAATAAATATATATACAAATAATAGAGCAATAATTCGGATAACCCGTATGGCCATAAGTAATATTTCAGACAACGAACAGTTGACGCAGGCAACAAATAAATATACCTCTCAGAGACGAGACAAGAACGCAGAAGTAAATCCCATCAAGGAAGCAATAATACCAATGATTCTGTCACAGAGATGACGTTGGTAATTTAGTGTTGTCTATAAGAAACACAACTGATGACTGCTCCTCGGAGATGCCAAATATTGTCCTGTCATAAGACTAGAGAAGAAGAAGAAATTGATATGCAACTCATCAATTGTTACACTAGGAGTGGCAAGTAATGAAAATATGTCCATCACAAGTCGAATACATTAGGAACACGTACGTTAGCGTGTTCACTTCACGTACTGGATGTTCACTTCATGTACTGGATGTTCACTTCACGTACTGGATGCCCTTGAACAGGCACTTCAGGATTTAGATTATCAAGGATAATTTCTTCAAGAATTCAATAATCCCTGTGCATTCACTTGAAGAATTAGATACCTTCGTACAGATAGCCTTGAACTGACACTGCGCGTGGCTCTTGAGGACGACGTCCCCGAGTCACACTGGAAGAGGAGGGGGGGGGGGTTGAGGAGCACCTATGCACAAGGTTAATGACTGTGGGAGCTGGTGTGTCAGAAGTTGTGAGCTGAAGGATCGTTCCAGAGGTGCGCGTCGCCCTGAGTAAAGAAGGAATAGGAGAGGACGCATGGGATAGGAGGACACAAGTGATAGAACGGGATGCAAAGGATAGAAATAGTTGAAAGGGATAGAAAGGGGACGTAAGGAGGTAGAGAGGATGCTAAGAATGGGATTGGATGCATGTAGTGGAAGAGGTCGCAAAGGATAGGAGAGGGGCAAAGAATTGGATGGGACGCAAGTGATAAGCAGCGGACACATGTGTCAGGTGGGAAGGAGGTGGTTAGATAAATATTAAGATACCAAATGGAATAGAGAATGGTGGAAAAACCCAGCCAAGTGGGAAGGGCCATGAGAGGCGGAGAGTAGGGGAAGTGATGAGTCTCTCTCAACATTCAACAATCCCTCGACACTCAACAATCCCTCAAAACTCTGTGGTCCGCTAAAACAATATTTATGATAAACTACTAAATCAAAAAGACTTGAAAGCTCTTGGAAGGGTTTTAAGGTTAGACTTGAAGGGAGGGTTATGAGGGAAGGGTAAAGGGACGGTGGCCAACCACTTGCATAATTGAAGATCGAATGTCTACCTTGCACGAAACGAGGCCGCCTTTGTACCAATCGATGCACGTGAAACAGCATTTGAGCAAGCTAATCAAACTATCAACAAGATTGACCTAAATATACTTCTTCAAGGAATAAGGATTGGCAGTGTGTTGGTTTTATTAACGTGTCGCCATTACAGATCAGATCTCGTTCCTTTCAACAATGTCCATCAATCTCTTCTAGTGAAGTTGACAAAAGTGAACAAATATTGAAACATTTATGAATTTTTGATTCGGGAAACGAAACGCTGCTTGAAGGCTTATGAAACGTCTCAGGTAAGTATGCTTCATATCTTCTCTCTCTTTTTTATAATTTTCATTAAACTACTGCGTCTTGGAGTCTATATTTTGTTCTCTGTTCGCTACTGCTACACAGGCGTACTGAACTCTGACCTTTCGTGATCACCAATGACACTCTTCCTCCCCATCACTCCTCACTATTCTCTTTCCTTCGAAGTCTAGTTTTCCTCCTTAAGTCCTCTTCTTCTTCCCCTACCTCTCCCAAACGATTTTCTAACGTCTTCCTCCTTCTATCCTCTCTTTCTCTCCCCCACTTCCGCTCCTCCATACCTTCCCTTGCCAATTCCCATCACGTGGTCCAGTAGTGTCTCCAACGAATCCATTTAACAGCTATTGGTTAGGAACTCTCTCAGTGTGCGCTACATTGGCTCGATGGAATACTGGAACTCACTATGACATCGTACTGGAGGGGCATCACTCAGCCTCCATCTCATCCATGAAGTCATTACACACTTCCACTCAGCTATTATCTTTAGGTTTCAAGCTTGACTCGTCTCTGTAATTCGTAAGGTTCTTCAATTCGAAAGAAAGTTGAAAAATTAACTCTTTAAAGTTCATTTGACACTTTTAATGGACCTGCCACGCTTCACTGTGGAATAAGTTTGCAGTCGGGACTGCACCACCATCGCTTTTGACAACTTAATTTTTTTCAATTGAATGTTTATATACGATCCACGTCATGCCATCCACAAAAAATACATATTCTTTCAAGCGCAACATCTTTCTGACCCGTAGTTGGCCAGCAAGATCTTTCCTCTTCCTGTAACGTCTGACCTTTCATGTGTGATCTCACCTTGTGAGCAAGTCGAGTTTACCTCCGCTATCTAAGGGTCAAACGACACTCTCTTTCTCTCTCTCTCTCTTTTCTCCTCTCCATCTCTCTCTCTCTCTCTCCTCTCTCTCTCTCTCTCTCTCTCTCTCTCTCCTCTCTCTCTCTCTCTCTCTCTCTCTCTCTCTCCTCTCTCTCTCTCTCCTCTCCATCTCTCTCTCTCTCTCTCTCTCTCTCTCTCTCTCTCTCTCTCTCTCTCTCTCTCTCTCTCTCTCTCTCTCTCTCTCTCTCTCTCTCTCTCAATCTCCTCTCTCCTCTCAATTTAATTTAGTACAGTTTAGTCACCATCGTTACCCTGGCAATTATAGCTAAAAGCAAGCTATTCCTGAACAGGAAACGCCAAACCAGCGTGGGCTCCCAACCATGCCTCGGCTATTTTACAGACATGCTAGCTAGACAACACGGTTTTCATGTATTTTTCATCCACAACATGAATAATATACGTTCGATCTTCCTGCTGCAAGCGAGTCTCAGTACAAAAATCTATATGCTCAGGGTTGAGGAATATTTCTCTGGTCCAACAGGTGTGCAGAGCGGCCAAGGTGGACTAGAAAATGTCACCAGGGGCTCAGATCATATCATTCACTCTTGTGAAGTACTTAATACTGTTGCTCTATAACAGTTTTTTCTCTTGCATTTATGCTTATAATGTGGATTATTGTTACATATAATAAGAAATTTTCAAGATGTTTTTATTTATAAACAATGATAATCGTAAATATGTATATTATATATATATATATATATATATATATATATATATATATATATATATATATATATATATATATATATATATATATAATATTGGTCTTCAACCCAGTTACATTCAATATTAAACATCAAGTACAAAGTCTTTTGGAAAGGTCATGACATTATTCCGTGAAATTTAGAGATAAGCAATTTAAGAGTAGCTACATTTACATTTATGTGTAATAAATTATTATCTGTAATGGGAATCAGAATGCACGTCAGGGAATTATCAATTAACAAAATATGTATATAGTCGGTGACATAATTAGAGGCTAATTGAATGGAAATTTCCGTAATGCTATTTACCCTGAGGGACTCAGAGACAGCGCCACAACAACACAATTGATCAGGAACGGAAGTAGTTTAAATATTTGTGTTGGGTAAATGGAATTATAAAGACTACGAGAAACATGTGTTTATTATATACATTGGAGAATTGTTCAGAAGGGTAAGTTCATCCATGGCAATGTGCATAGTATATATAGTGACTGCGCACGCCTCACCCAGCTGGTGACTGCACACGCCTCACCCAGCTGGTGACTGCACACGCCTCACCCAGTTGGTGACTGCGCACGCCTCACCCAGCTGGTGACTGCACACGCCTCACCCAGTTGGTGACTGCGCACGCCTCACCCAGCTGGTGACTGCACACGCCTCACCCAGTTGGTGACTGCGCACGCCTCACCCCTATGCAACTGCGCCAGGGTCTTTTGTCTGCCTATTCAAAAGCGGTAGCCGAGCGCTGCGGCCACAGCCTGCAGATGGGCGTTTTTTACAGCAGCCACACCTGGCGTGTCTTTCACCTGTCCATCCACACCTGCAGGAACAGTGTCCGCCACTGGCCCCGTCCAGACCGGCACAGCTGCGGCTGTGGGAGCGAAACGGTGCGTTGCCGTCAGATGCCCGGCCATGTGTCCGCCCAAGTGTCCAGTAATGTAGGCAGTCGACTGGCCATTTGCGTACCCGGCTTTCTGTAGCGCCGCGAGGTGCGCGGCTTTGGCGGCCGCCACAGTCGGCGTGTCCTTCACCTTTCCGTCTAAGCCTGCGGGCACTGTGTCCGCAAGAGGACCTGTCCATCGCGGCCATGGGGCTGACTGTACCGCCGGGACATGATGTCCTGCCAGATGGCCGGCCAGATGGCCTGCCAGGTGGCCGGGCTGGGTGCCACCGAAGTTGGATGTATAGGCGTAGGCGTTGATGGATGGCGTGAGGCGGTGGGAGGTAGGAAGAGGCACACCGAGATGTTGATGGCTGCTGAAGCCGTGTGTGTCCGGCGCCTTAGCTGCCAACAGCGCCAGGCGGTTGTACTCCCTGACGAAGGCGTTGCGCGCTGCTTCAACCTCCGGCGTATCACGGAGAAATCCCTGACCCGAGGTCAAGCCCACCACAACACTCACCAACACCTGGAAAATATTATCTTATTATACTCCTCTGCTACAACTTACTCGCTACACTCCTCCACTACACCTCACTACACAGTTCCTGTTCACCTTGCTCACTCTTCTTGCAATATACCTTTCTCAAGATATTATTACAATCGATTCCACAATTTTAATAAAATTAGGCTAGATTTTAGGATGCTTTAATTAAAGAGAGAGAGAGAGAACGCGTTAACGGAGAGAGAGAGAGAGTTCTTCGAGAGGAGCGAGAGAAAGAGAGATGCAGGAGAGCGAGGAGGAGGACGAGAAGCGCGTGCGAGAGGAGGATAGAGGGAGGGGGGTGGAGGAGAGGACCGGGAGAGCATGAGAGAGAGAGAACGAGAGAGAGAGAGAGGAGCAGAGCGGAGAGAGAGAGGAGGACGAGGAGCGAAGAGAGCAGGGAGAGAGAGAGAGAGGGGGGGGGGGGCTCTAAATACACCAGAATAATATAACTCACTTCTGTTAAAACAACCTATAAAACATAAAACAAAAGATAATTTAAGATAAACACAAGAAAATAGCACAGACTGAAGCAGAATGAATAACCATGATTTTAAAAACAGTAATAATCAAATGGAATAGAAAAGACTGAAATAATGGAGACGGGAAGAGAACTGAAGAGATGAGAATGAAATTGAATCAAATGTAATGGAAAGACAGGATAGCACTGTTTACACACACCACTGATTCTTGTCTCCTGTGGGTGGGAACCGAAGTCTGCATGCTATTTATGCTCTATTCTTTTCTCATCCTCTTCCAGCCATGTCTCACTTTCATGTACGCCTCTCACATCATTACCCTCGTGTCTCATCTCTCTCTTCTTCTTATTTCTCACCAGCACCTACCTTGCTCATCATTCATTTTATCCTACTTCTCTCATCATTTCTCACCAACACTTCTCTCTCTCTCCCTCTCTCTCTCCCTCTCCCTCTCTCTCTCCCTCTCTCTCTCTCCCTCTCTCTATCTCTCTCTCTCTCGGTCTCTCTCTCTCTCTCTCTCTCTCTCTATCTCTCTATCTCTCTCTCTCTCGCTCTCTCTCTCTCTCTCTCTCTCTCTCTGTCTCTCTCTATCTCTCTGTCTGGTCTCTCTCTCTCTCTCTCTCTCTCTCTCTCTCTCTCTCTCTCTCTCTCTCTCTACTCCTCTCCTCTCTCTCTCTCTCTCTCTCTCTCTCGTTTCATCACCTCCCACCTTGCCTAATATATTCTCCCTCCCTACCATAAATTTCTGCCTCATTCAGGCACACCGGGACACCAGGATCTTACGGACCTTCACTTCTCACAAAGGTCGCCCTTTCGTAGCGCTCAATTTTCTTTATTCCAAAATTATAATTTTTATTATTCTTTCTCATTTTTTCTTTTCTTTACAAAACTTTCAATTACTTTTTAAACGCATGAGCGTTGTGTACATGTGTGTGATTTATCTGCAAAGTTGTTACACTGGCGAGTTCTGTTTGGTCAATACTACTTTTGCGTCCTGTTCGTGCTGGTGCCATTTGTGACCTCGATGCTGGGGCGACAGTATGAATCCGATTGTCTGTCTGTCAATATCCCCCTCTTTCATGACAATATTATGTTTGCCTCTTTGGTCCAGCTTGTATAATGAGTGTGTGTGTGAGTGTGAACTCACCTATTTGTACTCACTTAATTGTGCTTGCGGGGGTTGAGCTCTGGCTCTTTGGTCCCGCCTCTCAACTGTCAATCAACTAGTGTACAGATTCCTGAGCCTACTGGGCTCTATCATATCTACATTTGAAACTGTGTATGGAGTCAGCCTCCACCACATTACTTCCTAATGCATTCCATTTGTCAATCACTCTGACACTAAAAAAGTTCTTTCTAATATCTCTCTGGCTCATTTTGGCACTCAGTTTCCACCTGTGTCCCCTAGTGCATGTGACCCCTTGTGTTAAATAGCCGGTCTTTATCAACCCTGTCGATTCCCTTGAGAATCTTGAATGTGGTGATCATGTCCCCCCTAACTCTTCTGTCTTCCAACGAAGTGAGGTTCAATTCCCGTAGTTTCTCCTCGTAGCTCATACCTCTCAGCTCGGGTACTAGTCTGGTGGCAAACCTTTGAACCTTTTCCAGTTTAGTCTTATGCTTGACTAGATATGGACTCCATGCTGGAGCCGCATACTCCAGGATTGGTCTGACAATGTGTGTGTGTGTGTGTGTGTGTGTGTGTGTGTGTGTGTGTGTGTGTGTGTGTGTGTGTCGTGTGAGTATATTCGTACCATAACCTGGCAATGATAAAATAACGAATATCAGATATGTAAAATCCACCTCAGAACAAAGTTCAGGAATAACACGGGCCTCCCCTCCTCGAGGGGACAGCGTTATGAAGCTATCATGCACCCAGTCAGCTTCGTCACACACTGGCGTGAACGATCCCACCAGTACACTGCCGATGCGGGAGAAAGAAATGATCACCACTCACCCAGACAAGCATGGTGCTTGTAGACGTAGCTTCTGAACGCGGAGGTACAAGACTAATGCAGGA